TAATGGTGCAGCTATAAATTCGCGGCCATCTTACAATTCTCCATTTGCTCTGGTCATTCAAGAGAGACAGACCTCTCTGTATTAGGGACACAGCCGAAAAGAATCGTTACTTAGGGACACAGAACCGTTACTTAGGGACACACAGAAACGTTACTTAGGGACACCACAATCGTTACTTAGGGACACAGGAACCGTTACTTAGGGACACAGAACCGTTACTTAGGGACACAGAACCGTTTACTTAGGGACACACAATCGTATACTTAGGGACACAGAACCGTTACTTATCTTAGGGACACTGAACCGGTTACTTAGGGACACAGAATTGTTACTCAGGGACAGACACAGAATTGTTACTCAGGGGGACAGACACAGAATTGTTACTGAGGGGGACACAGAATTGTTACTGAGGGACCACAGAATTGTTACTCAGGGACAGGACACAGAATTGTTATCTCAGGGACAGAGCCACAGAATTGTTACTCAGGGACAGACACAGAATTGTTACTCAGGGACAGACACAAAATTGTTACTCAGGGACAGACACAGAATTGTTTACTGAGGGACACAGAATTGTTACTGAGGGGACACAGAATTGTTACTGAGGGACACAGAATTGTTACTAACCGGGGGACACAGAATTGTTACTCAGGGACAGAACACAGAAATTGTTACTCAGGGGACACAGAATTGTTACTCAGGGACAGGACACAGATATTGGGGGTGTACTCAGGGACAGACCACAGAATTGTTACTGTGGGACAGACACAGAATTGTTACTGAAGGGACACAGAATTGTTACTGAGGGGACACAGAATTGTTACTGAGGGACACAGAATTGTTACTGAGGGAACAGAAATGTTACTGAGGGACACAGAAATTGTTACTCAGGGACACAGAATTGTTACTCAGGGGACGGACTCAGAATTGTTACTGGAGGGACGGACACCAGAATTGTTACTGAGGGACGGACACTGAATTGTTACCTGAGGGACACAGGATTGGTACTGTTGGGACCACACTCGAATTGTTACTCAGGGGAACAGAATTGTTACTCAGGGACACAGAATTGTTTACTCAGGGACACAGAATTGTAACCTAGGGACACAGAATTGTTACTGAGGGACACAGAATTGTTAATCAGGGACAGAACAGAACTAGTTACTGCGGGACACCAGAATTGTTACTTGAGGGGACACAGAATTGTTACTCAGGGACACAGAATTGTTATTTCAGGGACGGACAGAATTGTTACTCAGGGACAGACTACAGAATTGTTACTGCGGGACACAGAATTGTTACTGACGGGACACAGAATGTTTACTGAGAGGGGACCACAGAATTGTTACTCAGAGGGACACAGAATTGTTACATCAGGGACACCAGAATTGTTACTCGAGGGACAGGACATAGAATTGTTTACTGAGGGACACAGAATTGTTACTCAGGGACACGACTACACAGATTGTTTACTGAGGGACACAGAATTGTTACTCAGGGACAGACACAGAATTGTTACTGAGGGGACACAGAATTGTTATGAGGGACACAGATGTTACTGAGGGAACAGAATTGTTACTGAGGGACACAGAATTGTTCACTCAGGGGACCGACACAGAATTGTTACTGAGGGAGGACACAGAATTGTTACTGAGGGACACAGAATTGTTACTGAGGGACACAGAATTGTTATCAGGGGACACAGAATTGTTACTCAGGGACACAGAATTGTTTTACTGAGGGACACAGAATTGTTACGTGAGGGACACAGGAATTGTTACTGAGGACACCAGAATTGTTACTCGAGGGACAGACACAGAAATGTTACTGAGGGACACAGAACTAGTTACTGGGGACCCACAGAATTGTTACTGAGGGACGAGACAGAATTGTTACTCAGGGACGGACACAGAATTGTTACTGAGGGACGGACACGCAGGATTGTTACTGAAGGGGACGGACACAGGATTGTTACTGAGGGACACAGGATTGTTACTGAGGGACACAGGATTGTTACTGAGGGACACAGAATTGTTATCAGGGACACAGAATTGTTACTCAGGGACACAGAATTTGTTCTACTCAGAGGACACAGAGAGATTGTTATCCAGGGACCGACACCGGAATCCTGTTACTGAGGGACAGACACAGAATTGTTACTGAGGGACACAGAGAATTGTTTACTGACGCGGGACACAGAATTGTTACTGAGGGACACAGAATTGTTACTGAGTGGGGGACACAGATTTGTTATGAGGGACACAGAATTGTTACTCAGGGACACAGAATTGTTAACTCAGGGACAGACACAGAATTGTTACTGAGGGACACAGAATTGTTATCAGGGACAGGACACAGAATTGTTATCTTGAGGGACACAGAATTGTTACTGAGGGACACAGAATTGTTACTGAGGGACACTTAGAATTGTTATGAGGGACAGAGCCAGAGAATTGTTACTGAGGGACACAAGAATTGTTACTGAGGGACAGACCACAGAATTGTTACTGAGGGACACAGAATTGTTACTGGTAGGGGACACGCAGAATTATTGTTACTGAGGGACACAGAATTGTTACTGAGGGACACAGAATTTGTTACTGAGGGAACACAGAATTGTTTACTCAGGGACGAGCACACTGAATTGTGCGTTACTGAGGGACACAGAATTGTTAATCTCAGGGACTGACACGAATTGTTTACTGGGAGGGGACACAGAATTGTTTACTGGGGGACACAGATATTGTTACTCAGGGACAGACACAGAATTGTTACTGAGGGACACAGAATTGTTACTTGAGGGACACAGAATTGTTATGAGGGACACAGAATTGTTACTGAGGGACAACAGAATCGTTGAATTAAAGAGTATGTCAGACAACACGCAGAGGAGGCAGATGATGGCAATTGTTTTAGGAGCGAGCAGGACGTTTATGGTGCGTGGCAGCAGAGGAAGGGGGGTCGAGCGCAGCACTAGTCGCAGCCAAGAGGCCAGTGCTCCCGGTGTCATCCGGCGGTCGTGTCTCCACCGACAACCCTGCCATCATAGATTGGTTGGCTCGGTCGTCTTCCTCTTTCCCCAGGTCAACTCTGACACTACAGCCAATACGGTCGGTGGGTACGTCAGACACAAACCGTTAGTTGACATGGCCCGGGAGCAAGCCCACTGACATCACGTGTCCTCTACCTGCCCCTGTCACTTTGGTGTTCACCCCTCACCAAGCGAAGTATCGCATGCTGGTGGGCTCAGCCCCACTGTACAGTGAGGAAGAGCTAACAGAGGCTGCGGGTCAGGAATGGGGGAGACATCGCCTCTTCAGCAGCCAGGCGAAGAAGTACTGGCGAGGAGAGTGGCTCGGTAGCCGGTCTAGAGACAGGTCAGTCTCCTGACCCACACGCAGGCCGAGGGGCTAGTAGTGAGGCGGAGACCCTAATTGATTGATGATGAGGCTGATCGCACTTGGCAGCCTCGTCGTCATCAGGCTATTGCTTCCGCTCATCAGGAGAAGAGGGTGCCAGCTTGGCAGGCGAGCAAAACAGTCGGTGGGTTGCCCAGGAGGCAAGCAGGGTCGCAGCAGTGTCAGTGGAGGCAAACGGCCACTTGGGGGGGGAGAACAGCACCAGCTCCACTGCAGCCTGACCACCCATGGCCAGTAGTGGTGCCGGTGTGCACGGAGGAAGTAGCACAGTCAGCCAGTGAAGGAGTAGCGGGGGCAAAGTTTCCTACTCGGCGGTGTGTCAATTTTTTGTCAAGCCGCCCGAGGAAGTAAACGTAGCCGTATGTCGGACTATGTGGCCAGAATGTCACAAGCGTGGCCAGGGGGCCCATGTTGGGACTACAGCGTTGCATCAGCAATATGCAGCGTCGCCATTCGGTGGCCTGGGAAAACCCCCCCAACACGGTTGATAAAGATACGGCGGTTCTGCCTGCCTCCTCATGCTGCTGCCAGGTCATGGGTCCCTGTACGGCCTCCCATTGCTGCTGTTCTCCATCGCCACACTCTGCCCCCCCATGTGCCACTTTCAGGTCTCTCACACTGCTGTGTGTTCCATTTTGTCATAGGGTGCTGGCAGATTACGGGCCTCCCATTGCTGCTGCCAGGCCCGTCAATCTGCCATGGGCCCCCCGTACCGCCTTCCTCATGCTGCTGCCAGGTCCAGAGTCTCTCATGGGTCCCTGTACGGCCTCCCATTGCTGCTGTCTCCATCGCCACACTCTGCCATGTGCCACTTTCAGGTCTCCTCACATGCTGGTGTGTGATTCCATTTTGTCATAGGGTGCTGGCAGATTACGGGCCTCCCATTTGGTGCTGCCAGGCCCGTAATCTGCCAGATGGGCCCCCGTACCGCCTCCTCATGCTGCGGCTTGCCAGGTCAGAGTCTCTCATGGGTCCCTGTACGGCCTCCCATTGCTGCTGTCTCCATCGCCATCCACTCTGCCCATGTGCACTTTCAGGTCTCCACACACTGCTGGTGTGTTCCATTTTGTCATAGGGTTGCTGGCAGATTACGGGCCTCCCATTGCTGCTGCCAGGCCCGTAATCTGCCATGGGCCCCCGTACCGCCTCCTCATGCTGCTGCCAGGTCCAGAGTCTCTCATGGGTCCCTTTACGGCCTCCCATCTTGCTGCTGTCTCCATCGCCACACTCTGCCATGTGCCACTTTCAGGTCTTCTCCCACACTGCTGGTGTGTTCCATTTTGTCATAGGGTGCTGGCAGATTACGGGCCTCCCATTGCTGCTGCCAGGGCCCGTAAATCTGCCATGGGCCCCCGTACCACGCTTCTCATGCTGCTGCCAGGTCCAGAGTGTGTCATGGGTCCCTGTACGGCCTCCCATTGCTGCTGTCTCCTATCGCCACACTCTGCCATGTGCCACTTTCTGGTCTCCTCACTTTTCTGCTGGTGTGTTCCATTTTGTCATAGGGTGCTGGCAGGATTACGGGCCTCCCATTGCTGCTGCCAGGCCCGTAATCTGCCATGGGCCCCTTGTACCGCCTCCTCATGCTGCTGCCAGGTCCAGAGTGTCTCATGGGTCCCTGTACGGCCCTCCCATTGCTGCTGTCTCCTCGCCACACTCTGCCATGTGCCACTTCAGGTCTCCCTACACTGCTGGTGTGTTCCATTTTGTCATAGGGTGCCTGGCAGATTTACGGGCCTCCCATTGCTGCTGCCAGGCCCGTAATCTGCCATGGGCCCCCGTACCGCCTCCTCATGCTAGCTGCCAGGTCCAGAGTGTCTCATGGGTCCCTGTACAGACCTCCCATTGCTGCTGTCTCCATCGCCACACTCTGCCATGTGCCACTCTTTCAGGTCTCCTCACACTGCTGGGTGTGTTCCATTTTGTCATAGGGTGCTGGCAAGATTTACGGGCCTCCCATTGCTGCTGCCAGGCCGTAATCTGCCATGGGCCCCCGTACCGCCTCCTCCTCATGCTGCTGCCAGGTCCAGAGTCTCTCATGGGTCCCCTGTACGGCCTCCCATTGCTGCTGTCTCCATCGCCACACTCTGCCATGTGCCACTTTCAGGTCCTCCTCACACTGCTGGTGGGTTCCATTTTGTCATAGGGTGTGGCAGATTACGGGCCTACCCATTGCTGCTGCCAGTCCCGTAATCTGCCATGGGCCCCCGTACCTGCCTCCTCATGCCTGCTGCCAAAGGTCCAGAGAGTCTCTCAATGGGTCCCTGTACGGCCTCCCATTGCTGCTGTCTCCATCGCCACACACTAATTGCCATGTGCCACTTTCAGGTCTATCCTCACACTGCTGGTGGGTGTTGTTCCATTTTGTCATAGGGTGCTGGCAGATTACGGGCCTCCCATTGCGTGCTGCCAGGCCCGTAATCTGTCATGGGCCCTGTTTGTACCGCCTCCTCATGCTGCTGCCAGTGTCCAGAGTCTCTCATGGGTCCTGTACGGCCTCCCATTGCTGCTGTCTCCATCGCCCAGACTCTGCCATGTGCGCACTTTCAGGTCTCCTCACACTGCTGGTGTGTTCCTCATTTTGTCATAGGGTGCCTGGCAGATTACGGGCCTCCCATTGCTGCTGCCAGGCCCGTAATCTGGCCATGGGCCCCCGTACCGCCTCCTCATGCTGCTGCCAGGTCCAGAGTCTGTCATGGGTCCCTGTACGGCCTCCCATTGCTGCTGTCTCCATCGCCACACTCTGCCATGTGCCACTTTCAGGTCTCCTCACACACTGCTGGGTGGGTTTCCATTTTGTCATAGGGTGCTGGCAGATTACGGGCCTCCCATTGCTTGCTGCACAGGCCCGTAATATGCCTATGGGCCCCCGATACCGACTCATCATGCGGCTGCAGGCCCGTAATCTGTCATGGGCCCTGTACTTCAGCCCTCCTCATGCTGCTGCCAGTCCAGAGTGTGTCATGGGTCCCTGTATCGGCCTCCCATTGCTGCTGTCTCCATCGCCACACTCTGCCATGTGCCACTTTCAGGTCTCCTCACACTGTGGTGTGTTCCCATTTATGTCATAGGGTGCTGGCAGATTACGGGCCTCCCATTGGTGCTGCCCAGGCCCGTAACTCTGCCATGGGCCCCCGTACCGACTCCTCCTCATGCTGTGACGTTGCAACAAGGTGGAATTCAACCCTACATATGTTAGACCGCCTTTACGAACAGCGAAAGGCCATCACCGAATTTCCTGATGTTACAAGCGGATAAAGGTACTCCCCTGTGTAACTTAGATGTCAGCCATTGGCAGCTCATGCGTGACACCTGCGCTTGCTCAGGCCCTTTGAGGAGGCCACGCTATTCGTGAGTTGGCTTGGACTATGGGATGAACGACGTCATTCCTCTTTTTGCACGTCCTGGAAACAAATGCTGTTAACAATGGCTGGTCAGGGTGCGGTAGATGTGGCGCACAGATCTCAACGCCACATGACCCCTGTGGGGGGCAGGACAGGAAGAAGAGGAGGAGGTAGAGGAGGGACATTGCCCACGTGCTCAGGAAATTATTGAGTGAAATGGGTGGTTTTTCTCCTCTCCACTCAGCGGACAGGGAGTGGAGTAGCAGGAGGCATCCTGGTCGGGTAGAGGAGGAGAGGAGGAGACAGAGGACCCAGACGCACCGTGGCAGTATGCTGTGGAGATGGGAGGCAGGGAGTCATCCCTCACATTCCTTGGCACAAATGGGGGGGGGGCCCATAGCATTGCTCGGTTGCTTGCGTAGCGACAGCCGAATAATAACCATCAGACAGAGGGATGACTTTTTGGCTGTCCCACCCTTGTTGGACCTCGCTACCGTTCAAAAATGGTGGCCTTTTTTCACACCTGCTGAGAGGAAGGCCAAAATAAAGTACTATAAAAAACCACCTATGTAGTCAGTTTGGTCTCTGCCTTTCTGCGCCAACGTCCATCCTCAGACATGTTGGGCCCTGTGCGCTCGCGTTTTCGCTGCCATGGCTGCAGGGGGGGGTGGGGTGGTAGGAGCTCAGTGGCAGCTCCACCTAGCAGCGGGCTGCCTCAGTCTGCAGACGATGATGAGTAGCTTTCTTCACCAGCGCAGTGAGGAAACTACTAACCAGCCGCAGCAGCAGCAAGCAGCATCAGGTGGACCTGGAGCAGGACCTCAAAACAACAGGCTTTGGGCCTACTTGGACAGCACCCTCCATGCCAACCGAGGTAGACAATCCCCTTGACTATATGGGCAACGAAACTTGACCTTTGGCCCCAACTAGCTGAATTTGCCCTTGAAAGGGCAGTCATGCCCGGGCCAGTAGTAGCGTTGGCATCGGAGCGCGTGTTTAGTGCGGCAGGAGGTATTGTAACTTCCGCGGAGGACACGACTGTCCATACACCCAAAGTGAGGAGTGACTCACGTTTGTGAAAATGAATCAGGCGTGGATTAGTCTGGATTTCAAACCACCAGTTCCTGACACAACTGACTAAATCCGCCATGAATCTTCTTTCGGCCCCAAACATGTGCCACTTTCAGGTCTCCTCACACTGCTGGTGGGTTCCATTTTGTCAAAGGGGTGATGGCAGATTACGGGCCTCCCATTGCTGCTGCAGGCCCGTAATCTGTCATGGGCCCCTGTACCGCCTCCTCATGCTGCTGCCAGGTCCACAGAGTGTGTCATGGGTCCCTGTACGGCCTCCCATTGCTGCTGTCTCCATCGCCACACTCTGCCATGTGCCACTTTCAGGTCTCCTCACACTGCTGGTGGGTTCCATTTTGTCATAGGGTGCTGGCAGATACGGGCCTCCCATTGGTGCTGCCAGGCCCGTAATCTGCCATGGGCCCCCGTACCGCCTCCTCATGCTGCTGCCAGGTCCAGAGTGTCTCATGGGTCCCTGTACGGCCTCCATTGCTGCTGTTCTCCATCGCTACACTCTGCCATGTGCCACTTTCAGGTCTCCTCACACTGCTGGTGTTTTTCCATTTTGTCATAGGGTGCTGGCAGATTACGGGCCTCCCATTGGTGCTGCCAGGGCCCGTAATCTGCCATGGGCCCCCGTACCGCCTCCTCATGCTGCTGCCAGGTCCAGAGTGTGTCATGAGTCCCTGTACGGCCTCCCATTGCTGCTGTCTCCATCGCCACACTCTGCCATGTGCCACTTTCAGGTCTCCTCACACTGCTGGTGGGTTCCTCATTTTTTCATAGGGTGCTGGCAGATTACGGGCCTCCCATTGCTGCTGCCAGGCCCGTAATCTGCCATGGGCCCCCGTACCGCCTCCTCATGCTGCTGCCAGGTCCAGAGTGTGTCATGGGTCCCTGTACGGCCTCCCATTGCTGCTGTCTCCATCGCCACACTCTGCCATGTGCCACTTTCAGGTCTCCTCACACTGCTGGTGGGTTCCATTTTGTCATAGGGTGCTGTATGGGGCCTCCCATTGCTGCTGCCTCCACTGCCATACTGTGGCTCCACACTCTGGTTTTTGGCCCGGAGACTGCCCAAATGAGTGAAGTGTGCGGTGATTCTAAGATCGACGGCACTCATCTGCATGTCATACTGACTGACAGTATTATTTCTCTTCCCCAGCAGACTCCAAGGGCATTTAAATTAAAGGTACAGTGTTCTGCACTAATTTAAAGGCTCTCTTGAAGCCTAGAAACACCCTTTTATAAGTTAAATTCGCAGCGAATATATTTCGCCTCGAATCGAATTTATTCCTCGAATTCGCCGAATCAGCCGAATCGAATTTTTGAATACTTCGCTCATCTCTAATAACCATTACCAAGTGGCTGACACTAGAATTTAATTAAAAAACCATAAAGTATAGTTTACCCCCCCAAAGTTTTTTTTTCAATTTTTTATACAGTATATGTCTTGTTTCTCATTTTTACTGAATCTATTAACACTCAGGAAATAGCATCATTACAATGCAGTACTTTAACCGCTAGGCTACAGGGCACTTATATCCCCTTCCTGCCCAGGCCAATTTCCAGCTTTCAGCGCTGTCGCACTTTGAATAAAAATTGCGCGGTCATACCACATTGTACAAATATGAAATTTATATCTTTTTTTGGTGGCAGATAGAGCTTTATTTTGGTGGTATTTAATCACCTCTGGCTTTTTTTATTTTTTCTTAAACAAACCAAAAACCACTGACACAATTTTGGAAAAAAAAAAATGTTTTTTCTTAGTTTTTGTTATAACATTTTGTAAAATAAGTGATTCTTCTTCACTGATATGCCCTAATGAGGCTGCAGTGGTGGGCACTGATAGGCTGCACTGATGGACACTGATAGGTGGCACTGATGGGCATTGACAGGTATCACTGATGGGCACTGAAAGGCAGCACTGATATATGGCACTGATAGGCAGCACTGACTGGCACCGATAGGCGGCACTGATTGGCACTGATTGGCATTGACAGGTGGCATTGACAGGTGTCACTGACTGGCACTGATGGCTGGCACTGAAAGGCAGCTCAGATGGGCACTGATATGTGGTCGCTGTGTCTGAGGGACACAGCGCATCGCCGCGCATGCGCGGTGAGAATGGGAGGACGTCATATGACGTCCTCCCAGAACAAGAGAACCACCTTGCACCCGTCATATTGCTATATGGCAGGCGGGAGGTGGTTAAATAAATTCAAATTATCTTAAACCTAATCTGGGAAAAAGAACTCACAGAATCAAAATCCATACTAAATAACTCAGACCCTTCAAATGAGATATTCATAGATAGTGATTGTTGCTAAAGGTTACATTTTTAAACCCTATCAAGGAATAAGGAATATCTCATTTGGAGGGGCTGATTTTATTTGTTAGCTTGCTGTCAAATACATGGTGATTCTACCCATCCCCCTACTTTATTTTGCCAATCTATTCATGCCATGGATGGAAGCAGATGCATCCTGGCATGGTCTGTTTCCAACTGAGCCTTCTACTTGGAAGGCCCAGGGCTACTTGGATATAGTGCTA